ACCGTCAGTGCCAAACACTCAGCTCTGTCTTCTCAGCTCATCCCTCAGTAATTCCCCAATTCCAACCGTCTTTGGCCCTCCTGGGACTGCGACCCTTGAACCTGCCACCTCTGCACAGCCCCCCTCCTGCCTCCGCACCCTCCGCCTTCTCACCTGCTCACTCACCCACCTTGCCTTGCACTCTCCCCTCTCCCTCTTCTTCTGTCCCCTCCTCCCCTGGCTCTTAGCTGGTGGAGTAGCTTCTGGTTGCACTGAGGAAGTGGAAGCAAACAGGAGAGAATTTCCACAGTTACCCGCCCACCCGCATCTGTCCCTTCTCTCCTGTTAGCTGTGGACCGACTGAGTTTCAGGCGACCCCTACCCCGGGAATCCATCGACCTACTCCAGGGCATGGCTCCAGCGTAAGCTCCCTCTCCTGCTGCATCAGTTTTTACCTCCCTTGGCCCATGTGTAGTGTGTGCAAGCTGGTGCTACCCCCATCTTAGAGAAGCCTTCTGGCCTCACTGTCCTCTCCACAGCCTCCCCCTCTCTCTCTCCTCTACACACACACACACTCACACACACACACACATATGATCGCACATGCGCACACGCAGAGTTCCTCAAAGAACTGTCTCACCCTGGCCGGTGTGGCTCAGTCGGTTGGAGCATCATCCCGTGCACCAAAAGGTTGCAGGTTCAATTCCCGTTCAGGGCACTTATCAGACTCAGCCAATCGATATTTCTCTCTCACATCGATGTTTCTCTCTCTCTCTCTCTCCCCCTTCCTCTCTCTCTAAATTGAATTATATATATATCTCCTTAGGTGTGGATTTAAAAAAAAAAGATTTGTCTCTGCTCACTGTCTCCATTTCTCTCTGCTCTTTATTACGGTTTTGCCCGTCAGCTGTTCTGAAAGTGCCCGTGGTGACGCCAGGACATTAGCAGCTCTGACCCCCCGCCCCCTTGCCTCTTGCCTCATCCCTCTCAGGCTTCCAGGGCACCGCGCACTCCTGGTGCCTGGTGCTCCTTGCATCTTTCTGGCCGTGTCTCTTCCGTCTCCCTGGCCTTTAAACACCATCCCGCAGGCTCACCCCCAGGCGACCTCCCAGCCTCACCACGTTAAATACCTGTTTGCTGGGGACCCCGGGTGTGAGGTCAGCCAGACTTCCCTGCTGGGCTTGATGGGCTCTGGCCTCGCCTTCTCTCCAGCCTGAGCTCTTGCTGCTCCACAGACCTGTCCTGCCAGCCTCCCGCACAGGTGGCAGCCACTCCCCTGTCCCACCAGCCTCCCGCACAGGTGGCAGCCACTCCCCTGTCCCACCAGCCTCCCGCACAGGTGGCAGCCACTCCCCTGTCCCACCAGCCTCCCGCACAGGTGGCAGCCACTCCCCCTGTCTGCAGTCAGGAGACATCGGCGTCCTTGCACCATCTTCTCTCGCCTCCCGCATCCAATCTGTTCTCAGATCTTGTCCTCGCTTTCCAAAATGTGGAGATAGTTAATGATGTTAAGGAATGTGCTTAAGTCCCTTTAGATGTGATAATGCTATTGTGTGTTTTTTTTTTAAAAAACCTTATCTTTTGGAGATTCTTACTGAAATATTTAGAGATGAAATGATAAGGAGTCTGGGGTTTACTCAGAATCACCTGAGACAGGGATTCTCACTAAGAGGACTCATTCAAACACAGTCTCTGAGTCTCCAGCCCAGAGTTCCGATTCAGCCAAGCTGGCGGGGTGGGGGAGGGGGGAGGCGCCTGGTAACTGGTATTTCTAATGCTGGTGATGCTTCCTGTCTGAGGGCCACATCTAAGGCCCTAATCTCAGGGTGAGACTGGGGTGGGGGGGCAATGAATGAAACGAATGCATGAAACTAGCTGGTGTTGGAGCTGGTGGGTCCATGGTCTGCGGGCGCACAGGGTTTATTACACTTACTCTGCTTTTCTTAGGGAATTTCCATAAAAGTGTGTGCGTGTGTTTCCAGAAGTTGACCATTTCTCAGCACCGCCGCTGCTATCACCGTGGTCCCGCTAGCATCTCTTGCCTGAGCCATTGCCGGGCCTCCCAACTGGTCTTGCTTCTCCCTGTACCCCTCTGCGTTCTGTTCCCAACACAGCAGCCCGCAAGGGCTCCCACTCAGCCTGAAACCCAAGCCTTTTTATGACCCAGAGGCTCTTTATAATGTGTCCCCCACTCCAATTTCCAGCAGACACACTGACCTTTCTGGTCCCTGAATTGCCAGGAATGCCTCTGCCTCAGGACCTTTGCACATGCTTCTCTGGGCCTACAATGCTCCCTGCTCCTTGTTCAGCCTTCTCTCTCATTTCCTTCAGGGCTGCATTCAAAAGTCGCCATTGTGGCGAGGCCTTCTCAAACCATGCGATGTAAAACACCTCTCTCTCTCTCTCTCTCTCTCTCTCTCTCTCTCTCTCTCTCACACACACACACACACACACACACACACACCCCACTTCATACCCCCCTTCCTTGCTCACTGTTTCTCCTTAGCTCATGCCACCATCTGTACTGTGCTTACTGACCATGGCTGTCCGCCCTGGCAGGAAGCTTACAGGGTGCCTGGCACTGACGAGGCCTTCGTGGATGTGCCTCAGCAGTGCCCCCGCTCTAGGGTCCCACCCACGGCTTGGCCTCCACTGCCACTCATCATCCATGACACGCGTCCCTCCTTTGCCCGCGCCCAGTGCCTGCCTGGGCTGGCTCTGATGTCCAGGGACGGTGGCCTGTCATGCCCACTGCCAGATCCCTGTGCCAGGGCAGTGCCAGCCCCAGTAGAGGATGGATGGCAGCATCCCAGGAGCACGAGATGGGTGAGGAAGAGGATGGGAGAGTAGACGAGAGGACTTCCCTCAGCAGGCTGGATGTTCGTGGCCAATGGCAGGGGAGGGAAAAACCCGCAGGAAATGCAAGAAAGCGTGGACAGTGGGAACGCTCTGTTTTGGAGGCATTAGCAGGACAGAAGTTGCAAACGGGCAGGCAAGTACCGCCTGCAGAGGTGTGTGTTCTGCCCACACGGTGCTTAAAATAAATGGGGTTGGTTGTCAGCAGCAAAAAATCAGCCCTGTCCTACTTCTCTGGAAAAACGCCAGACCTGCGGGCACTGGGTTGGCATGGCTCCTGGGGGACCACTGGCAGCACTGACCGCTGCCCCTCAGAGCAGGCGGGCGTGTCCTCCGGTCCTCAGGGCCCCTTCCAGCAGCTTCATCCACCCGGGACCTGCCCGCTGCTTGCAGGCATTGGGTCGAGAGCTCTCTTTTGCGGAGCAGGATGGATTCCTCCTTTCTCCAAGCCTCATGAGGACGCGTAGCTGTTTGGGGCAAGCAGCGGGGTGGTGAGTTCGGAGCAGGCTGCCTGGGCGGCCAGGCCTGGGCAGTGTGGGGCTGTCAGGGTGGGCCCGAGGAGCCGTGGAGAGGAAAGGAAAGCTCATCGGGGAGACTGTTTGCAGGGGGTCTGGGCCGTAAAAGGGCTGGCTCACCAAGTGCAGAGACCACCGAGTGTCATGGCTTCAGGCGTGCCCCCAGCATCACGTATTGAAGCCCGCTCTCACACCCAGAATGTGGGTCAGCGGGGATGTCGTTAGTTGAGATGAGGTCGTGCTGGGGGCGGGTGAGCCCCAAGCCCAATAAGACCGGTGTCCTTAGAAGAAGAGGAGAGACACAGAGACCCACGGGGAGCAGGTGGCCATGTGACAATGGAGGGGGTGATGCAGCTCAAGCAGGGGTGACGGCCACCCCGAGCTGGGAGGCGGCAGGGAGGGGTCCTCCTGGAGCCCACAGAGGGGCTGGCCCCGCCACCCTCGCGGTCAGCCGTGCCCCCCGGAACTGTGCCCCGCTGGTCTGTCGTGAGCGGGGTTTGTTTCCAGCCAGTCCGATTGCGGAGGAAAAACGCGTCTTCTCACAAGATGACCGCGACGGCCGGGCACACGTGCTGAGAGTGGTCTCGGGGCAAGGCCCACAGGAGGGCGCTCATGTCAGGGAGTCCGTCGCTTACGGGACTCGATGGGCCAGGTGGCCCGGTCAGGGCTTGAAGACGACGAGAGCTCTTTCTATTCGTGTTCCTTTGCCCATGGCCAGGCGATGTGATGTGCGCTCTGTGGTGTGTGACCAGTGGGCTGAGCCGTGTCCCTCTCCCCGTGTCCACAGCCTCTCCCGTGGTCCGTGCTGCGTCCAAAGTTGGATTTGACACTTGCTTTGCCCAGCGGTTTCCTCCTGTCTGTCTGGTGCCCAAGAGCCCCTTGTCTACGGTTTAACAAGCCGAGGACCGGGCCTGCGAAGGCTCGGGGTCCTGCTGGAAGCCTTGGTAAGGCTCCCGGAGCTGGGACAGATTATTGCATCAGGGTTATTCTCTGGCATTTGTCCACTTGTCTACTGACAGGCGGTGGCTGTGGATCATTGGAACGGGCGGGGCTACTGCCCCGAGGTCTCTCCTTCTGCCAGCTTTGCTCTCCACCTGCTCTGGGCACAACTGCCGAATGGGGGGTCCTGCTCACGCAGCTCACCTTGGGGTTCACGCTACTGGGCCTGGGGTGTCTGGGTACCCAGTTTCCTGTGCAGCCCCCCTGTGGGTTAACAGTTCCTGGGGGTGGGGGGTGGGCACTGCAGAACGAAGCCCCCAGGAGACACACTTAGGAAGGCAGGTTCTCCGAAGATGACGATGACTCGCTTTGTGTCTGAGCACGTGGGCCCCGGTGCAGTGACAGGGTCGGCCCAGGCTCCCCCTCAAACCCAGCACCTCCGGCCCACGGGGGATGCCCCTCATCCTCTCCAGCCCTCCCCCCCGGAAGCTGTGGGCGCCCGCAGAGAGCAGGCTTTTCACGGGGATGTCTACATCCCTGCTGCCTGGTGATTCGCTGATCCTGAAACCTCAAACCTCCACACGCGTTACTGGGGCTGAGCTATTGTCTCTGCGTTTTCTTTTTCGAGTGGGTGGGAGCGGCGGAAGGCTGCGGGGAGCGAACTCCCGCGGGAGACCCGCTGATGTTGTCTGTGCTGTGCTTGTCCCCCAGCGCCCGCCGAGAAGGAGGTCATCAGAGGCCAGTACGGGAAGCTCACCGACGCCTACGGCTGCCTGGGAGAGCTCAGGTTAAAATCCGGTGAGTATCCTCCGGGAGCAGCAGCTGTCAGCCTGCCTGCCTCTCTTGTCAGTTTGGAAAGCATTTTAACGGTGTGATCTTTTGAATGTTTGTTTTGCCGAGCCTGCTCCTCCATGCTGGGAAGGTCAAGGTGAGTGCAGCCGGTTCCCACCTGTCTGTGTTGCTTCTGGCCTTGGGTGCAGAGAAAGGTCCCCTTTATTGTTTGCTCATCAGGACCTGAGCGTCGGTGTGTGTGTGGGGGGGGGGGGGTTGCTGGGGTGCGGGGGGCTGCCCAGGGGTTGTTTGTCACTTACAAGGGCCCTGTACTCTGCCTTCCAGAAGGTGGATGCCACAGGTCCCAAGCCCCCTGGACAGGCTGGTCTGGGCATTGGTGGCGAGGAAAGCCAACCACCAGGGCCTGAGCGTCAGACACTGGCAGGGGCTGGGGGGCTGGGGGGGGTGGGCGGCGGGGAGCTACAGGAAAGGAAAGTGCATCACAGAATGGGCCACTTCTCTGGCTTGAAAAGGCACAGAACTTACAGGACAAGTGGGCGTCCTTGCTTAGTATGACCTCGAGGGGCCCAGTGGTCAGTTGTGCACACACACACACACACACACACACACACCCAGGGCCACCGAGTCACCTCTGCACTCCTGGGCCTCATGGGAACCCTGGAGCCACCATGTCCTTCCCCGTCTCAGCCGGCTAATGTGTGTTGGCCCACCCAGTGCCATCAGTGAGTTATGGGCCGAGGCCAGAGCTGGGTCAAAATGGGAAGGGCTGAGTTGACCGAGTTCAGGCGCGATGGCTCTCCCCAGCCCAGCACGTGCATGTCCCACCCCCCTCGGCCGCCGGGTGTGTGGACGGAGGACGGTGAAAGCCCCCAGAAGGGCACTGGTGTTTGCCTTCCTTTCCCGGGTCTTCCATGGGCCGGTCTTGCCTGAACTACGATGATGACATGGACAATCTCTAAGCGGTGCTGAGGAGAAGCACCAGGCGACCCACCCACACGACCAAGTGCTGTCATTAAACATCCGCTCCGTGCCAAGGACTATACATCCATGACGTCACTGAATCCTGCAGAGGAGCAGTGCGATCTGCATCTTCACCCCCGTTTTACAGCGAAGGAAACGCCCCAAGAAGCTCTGCTGGGACTCCAGCCCGACCTGGCTGCTTCCAGAACTCGCTTTTCCCATGAAAAGGTGCCGCCTGCCAGAGTTTCCTACGGGCCTCCCCGCACCCCCAGTGAGCTCCCTGTGGCCCAGCCTCAGTCATGACGCCGTGTGGAGGCAGGCGGCCTTGCATGGTGCCTACCCAGGGCCTGGCACTGCTGATGTGCTGTCACTGACTCACGCAGCTCTCCCGGCAGCCTGAGGGAGGCACTGTTGCCATCCTGCTTCACAGACAAACAAGCTGGGGTGTGGGGGGGTGGGTGGCAGAGGGGGACTTACCTGCTGTGCGTCATCTAGTCTGTGACACTTTTTTCTACACCGTCACCTCCAGGCACTCAGGAGGTGTTCCGTGGTTGACATCTTACAGTGATAACTGGAAAGGTTTCTCTTGTGCGTAATTAAGTGATCCTTAATCAAATGATCTGCAGGGGCCTGGGCTCAGTGCAGGGCCATAACGGCCCAAGGTCAGGCAGTTCTTCAGCTGCAGCTGGACTCTGGGCTGTGTGCCTTCTGGCCCCAGGGGCTGCTCTCCACCACCAGGCTGCTCTGTCCCAACTGGGCGGGAAGTGAGCTTCTGGGCGGAGAGCAGCACCACCCTCCCCCCCATCCCAGGGGAAAGCTGTGGTCTGAGGTCGGCTACAGGCCAGGAAGGGTGATGGCCCCAGGAGAACATTGTCGGGTGAGTAGGGTGTCTGCGGGGCACCCGGCCAGGGGCCAGGGTGGGCTTGGCAGCAGCCCCAAACTAAATCTGTTTTCTCTGTTTGTTGTTTCTCACCTGTTGAGGGTGTTGGGAAGCATGTTCACCAGGATGACCCTCCCCAGTGGGGTGGGCGCCCCCCTTGACTTTTTAGGCTGAGGGTCTCCACAGAGAAGGAGGCTTCCCCTCAGTCTCTCCGCTTGGGGCAGTTGTCCAATTTTAATTTTACTGAAGTGAAAACAGCCTTTATGTTAGAAATGAAGAAACATGCACGAACATTGCATCAAAGCTTTATCTCAGGTTCCTGGGTGTCACAGAGAGCTGAGTGCCCCTTTCTCCCTGAAAAGCCAGCAGGAAGGGGGTGGAGCCCCCACCATTCGCGGGCATCGGGCTTCCCAGGGACTGCGCGTGGGGAGCCCAGGAGGTGAGAGTAGCAGCGAAGGCACTTTCCCAGTGAGAACAGGGACTTACCTTGCTTTTAGCCTGAGCGCTCGAGGCCTCCGCGTGTCATGGCCTCCGCGTGTCATGGCCTCCGTGTGTCATGGCCTCCACGGTTGCGCGTACTGAGGTCTCTAATGAGTGAGGCTCCTGGACTGTGCCGGGCACAGCCCCTGAAGCAACAGACAGCCCTACACTTCCCAGTAGCCCTCGGGTCCCGTCCCAGCGTCACAGCATGGCCCATGCACATGCCACCTCCCCAGGGCTGGTTTCCCACCTGTGAACCAGGAGGCCTTGTCTCTGCTGACATTGTTCCTAGATTTCCGTGAGAAGGAGCATGGTGCCGAGTGGGCGGGGCTGGCAGGGGGTCCCCAGGAGAGCCGGTGTGGGGGAAGGGCGCAGGCTGGTGGACAGGCATGGCTCGCCGAGCGCTGGCTTCTGTGGGCTCTCACTGCCGAGGGAAGAGTGGAGAGGGAGTGGGACAGCCTCTTGCGCTCAGGGCCTGCAGCGCTCTCTGGCGAGTCTGAAATGGAGTGGCCTTCCTGGTCTCGGAGTCCTTTACTTTAACATCAGTGACCCGTGGTGAGCTGGTAAATATTGGACACCCAGCTCTGGGAATGTCCGTGGTGTGACTACTCCCACCTGCTGATTGCCGGCTGCCAGGCGGAGGGGGCCACGGGCACAGCGGGCTGTCCCGAGCTGGGTGAGCGGCCGCATGGCCTGCACCGCTCCTGGTTCTAGAAAGGGAAGGTGAGGGAGCCCTGAGCCGGTGCCATGTGGCTACAAAGGCGACAGAATTCTGAGCTCGTGCGTGTGGGGAGGGGAAGGCCTTGGGGGTCCTCTGGCCAAAGCAGCTTCCTTCCCCTGGGCAGCCCAGAGTTCCTAAGGCCTTCGCTTCCCACTAGTTTGAGAGTGTCCTGGACGAGCAGGACGATAGATCGGGCGGCCACAGGGCTGAGATGGGCAGGAACCTGGGGGGAGATCGCGGAGCTGAGCACACAGAGCAATGCCAGCCCAGGAGGCGGGGCCTGGAGAACACGCCCAGCCTTGTCCCGAATGAATGGCCTTGTGTCTGCCATGACTCATGGTGAGCCCAGTGCCAGCCCTCCCCTGCCAGGTGACAGGTGGCCGCAGCTCGGGGTGGACGTGGGCCCTGTCACGGCAGCCTCGGGGCATCGGGCAGCTCGGGCGTGGAGGTGGGCTTCGAGGAAAGCGTTCCTAAGTTGATACTGAGGTTTCGGAGTTGTTTTTATTGTTACAAAATATAAACGAGATGAAATTGTTAGTGTACAGTTCAGTGGCATTAAGAACATTCACAGTGTTGGGCAACGATCCGTCTTCAGAACTTTTTCATCTTCCCAAACTGAAACTCAGCCATTAACTCCTAGATTTTGAGATGCACCGTCCCTTCTCCTCCCTGCCTGTCCAGGCTGCAGGCAGAGTTGTCTGCACTGTGAGCCTCTTGTCCTCCGCAGGGGTGTACCTGTGTGTGCATGTCTGTGTGCATGTGTGTGTGCATGTGTTTGCACACGTGAGTGCGGGTGCATACGTACACGTGTGTCTGCATGCACATGTGTGGGCATGTGGCTGTGCCTGCACGTGTGTGCATGCCTGTGAGCATGTGGCTGTGTGCATCTGCACACACATGCATGTGTGCATGTGTGTTTGCGTTTGTGCATGTATGTGAGAGAGTGCGTGCGTGTTTGTATCTGGTGGGCCTTTGGCCTGTCACCCATGGCTTGCCCTCCCCACCACCTCACCTGACTCTGGCCAGCAACCTCTGACCTGGCCTGGTGTTGCTGGGGCCACAGCCCTGCCACCAGGAGGTGTGAGCTGGAGGGACGCGGAGGCCTCCCCTCTGAAGCCTGGAAAGGGGGTGTGCAGAGCTCCAAGCCCGTCTTCTGAGGCCAAGGCCAGTCAGGGCTTGTCTGTTCCCGCCTACGAGGTCCTTACTGTTCGTCCTGCACTAAGGGCCTCTGCGCCCCTCCCCAGGCCCCGTTTCTTGGCTGAGAGAAAGCTGACCTGCCTCACCCACAGCAAAGCCTAGATCCTGTGCTCCAGGTGAGCATCGGAGGGATCCCCACACGCCTGGGAGGCAGCCTACCCCCCCCCACCCCGCCCCGGCCTCACTTTGACCCCCTACAGAAACCGCCTGGCAGGGGTCAGGGGAACAGTCTGCACCAGGCTCAGACCAGGGCCCTTCCCTTCAAACCCTCTGTGCCTACCTCCCTTTCTGTAAAATGGGGCAGAAGTGCCCCCTCCCCAGGCTGCTGGAGGAAGTGCGTGGACCGGTGCCAGGCAGCACCGCCCCGAGAATCAGCTGGCAGCAAAGCGCCCGCCCGCTCCGGGGCTCCCACCGCGACCCCCTCACCCGCCCCCTCTCCTGAGCCGTGTGTCCCAGGACTGGGCCCGGATGCTCAGCGGTGGCGGCGCTGTCCTTCGTCCTCATTTGTCTGAGGGGCCTTTTCCCGCCCGCCTGCAGCATGCCCGTCCCAGGCCGCCTGGACTCTAGCAGGGACCCGGCCCCCCACGCAGAGGGGCGAGGACTCAGATGGAGAGATGCAGACTTCCCGGGCCTCTCCCTGAGCCCACGCCCACAGCCTACCCGTGGGCTCGCAGCCTCGGGTCAGGGCTGGCCTCAGGGTCAGGGGCCTGGGAACCTTTCACGGGGCAGGAGCCTTGAGCTGCTCTCAGGTCGGGAGAACTCATCGACCGCTTCCTGTGCCGTGCTGGGACACAGCACCGGCCACGGTGCTGCCCGAAGGAGCCCAGGGTCCCGGGGCACCAGTGGGGAGGGGCTCACTCTGCTGTGACAAGGCTAACAGGGAAGCTGTTGGCACAGAGAAGGGGCAACTGACCGGGACTTGGGAAGGCTCCTTGGAGGAGGTGCTGCTGAGATGAGCCCAAAGCGGGAAGAGCCTGGAGGGTGGAGGGTGGAGGCGGGAGGTGAGTGGGGTAGGTAGGGGCCGTGGAAGGTCTTGTTGGGCCGACAGTTGCGGGGAGGCATCGGGGCAGAGGCAGCGTCTTGGGCAAAGGCCCGCGGTGGGAGGGCACATGGCACATCTGAGGAGCCGCAGAGCCCGGCCGGATAGCTGCTGGGCCCTGGGCGTCCCTGCGGGGGGGGGGGGGGGGACGAGGGTAGGGAGAGCTCCCATTTCAGGGGGGAAGTGGGAGCCGTGGAGGAGTCAGGTGGGGGAGGGAGGTCTGCCAGCAGGTGGGGTGGGGAGGCCACCCCAGTGACAGAGCTGGAGGACCTCCGTGGCTGGAGGACTGAGCAGGCGGTGGCTGAGGATTCACGGGAGGGTGGCTTTGAGAGGCGTTGGGGCGGGGGGGGGGGCAGATAGGGGGAGAAGGGCGGGGCTGGGACGGCTCCAGGCCGGCACCCCTCAGCTCTGGTGGGCAGCGGAATCACCTGGGGCTCATTGGAGCACCGTTCTGGCCAGGCCCACGGGTCTGCGTGGGCTGGGAGTTTGCAAATATTTCTAACAGGCTCCCTCCCAGGTGATGCCGCTGCTGGTCAGGGGCCACGCTCAGCACCAGGCCCTGGACGGCAGGCCCATGTGGCAGGGCGATTCCTAGACGCTGAGCTGAGGAATTGGAGGCGCCGGGGGGGTGTGGGAGTCGGAAGGCAGTGGCTGCGGTGAAAGCTGGGCCGCCTGGGCCCCCGGGACTGCGCGCTGCCACCGAGGTCCTGAGCTCTCCCGTCCGATTTCCCCTCCAGGTGACGCGTCCCTGAGCTTCCTGGTTTTGGTGACGGGCTGCACGTCTGTGGGCAGAATTCCGGAGGCTGAAATCTACAAGATCACCGCCACCGACTTTTACCCTCTGCAGGAAGAGGCCCGGGAGGAGGAGCGGCTCACGGCCCTCAGGAAGATCCTCAGCTCCGGCGTCTTCTACTTCGCGTGGCCCAGCGACGGCTCGCGCTTCGACCTCACCGTCCGGGCACAGAAGCAGGGTGATGACAGCGACGAGTGGGGGAACTCCTTCTTTTGGTGAGGCCTGGGCCCCCATCTCCTGCCCAGGTCACGGGGCGGCGGGCCCTGGTGGGCACCTACCTCCCAGGGTCCCGGGTGACCTCTGAGAGTGGAATCGATGCCCACTCAGGGGCCCGAGCCTGCATTTCTAGAAGGTGGTGATGGTGGCACCAGTGCTGCTGGTTCAGGGACCAGCTCTGAGTAACAGGTCCCGGGGGGTAAGGGGGGTGTCTCTGTGACTCACGGGGCCACTTTGCAGGGACCAGCTGGTGCGTGTGGCCTTGATGCGGCTGAGCTTACGGACCGAGGGTCTTTGTGCCAAGGCCGCGGAGCCATTTCAACCCGGGGCTGTCGGGGGAGCAGAGGCGAGAAGTCTCTGAGGCTGTAACCTTCCTTGGGAACATTGTAGGGCCAGAGGATGTCAGGGGACTCTGGATGCGCCCCCTTCCCTCCCTCCTCAGGCTCCTCCTGCCCGCGCTGTGGCCGGAGGTTCGAGCACACAAGCAGGAGACACAGCAGAGAGTCGCCACGCGGAGGCTCAGTGGGGCTTGGGAGGGGAGACCCCATGGACACCAGACTTTACCTTGAGTTGAGAGGAGGCGGCGACTGGGGAAGGTGCCAGGCTGCTGGGCCGGACACCAGGGTGTGGTGTGTGGGCTCAGGGCGCACCCATGGGACTGACCACGACCGAGTCGGCTCTGGCTGAGTGGTCACGGGCTTGATGTGCTCACCGCCGTTGGGGTGCCGGGTCTGGCCCGTGTCTGGAGTCAGACAGGGTCAGTGCTGAACGTGGCTGGTGAGTAGAGTGAGTGTGCGGTGGGTGAAGTCCTTTTTCTGGGCTGGTTATCGGCCCCGCCCAGAATGGCTTCCCGGTACAAGCCAGGCCCGGGAGGAAACACAAAGCTCTTTTCCTTTCTCAGGCCTTCTCCAGGGGGTGTGAGGGCTCCTCCCACAGCATCAGGGAGAGGCTACAGGCCGGCTTTGTTCAGGGCTGTCCATTGGCAAGTCTCCTCTCCTGACCCCTGGGGCTCACGGTCGCCACAGCTCGAGGCTTTGCCTTGATGCCGTGTGTGGGTTGCATGCACTGGTTCCTCAGGCTGGTTTACTGTCTGAACTTTAGGGAGAGGTGCAGGGGAGGGAGAGGGGTGTTTGTAAAGCAGACGGGCACTGTGGTTCTGAGAGCTAGGGAGGGGGTGGGGGTGTCCCATGTGGCTGCTCCCCGGGGGGCTCCTGGCGCCCAGATGGAAGTGGCTGAGTCATGGGCAGGAAGGCTGGCCTCAGTGAGGGGCGCTGCTGCCTGGAGCAGCCACCTGAGATGCCAGGGCTCACAGCACGCATCTCCAGCACTGAGGGAAAGCTGCCGTCTTTGAGGAAGGCCAAGGGCAGGGCTAGTGCTGCCTTTTTTGAACAAGTAGAGCATTGTGATCTAGATTCGCTTAATTACCCGGCGAGAGAGAGGACAGGAGGATGTGGTGCGCACAGGAAAGGTAGGGCCTTCATCAGCGGAGGCCAGTGCTGGCTGCCTGGGAGAATTACACCTGCTCCCAGCTCCACACTGCCGCTTCCTGGCCCTGTGACCTTGGGCAAGTGGGCGCTTCACTCCGCTGTGCCTCAGTTTATTTATCTGTGAAATGGGGTGAGTGATAATACCTAATACCTGCCACATGGCATCATTTCGAGGATGCAGTGAGTTAATCCATGCCAGGCACTTAGAATGTGCTCAGTGCGCTTGACGCGCGTTGGCCGTTGTCCCATCGTTACGCCGGGGCCCTCCAGAAGCCAGAACGGCCCACCAGGTACGGAAGCGCTGGGACTTCCCTAAGTTTTATTTCCATCTTATCCTCTTTTGTAATTTACCTCATGGGATATGGATATGATTTAAATAAGTATGCATGCGTTTAGTAGGATTAATTTAATCACTTGTCATTATCTAATCACAAAACACGTGATTACGTTTTTACTGACGGGATTGCCCGTTAAAACGTGGAGGCCACAGGTGTAAAGAGGCTCCTCTGACATCCGCTGAAAGGCGCGTGACGGCTCCCAAGCCTGGCTGCCCCTGGCCATGGCCACCAGCAGTGGCTTTGGGAAAGGACTCCTTGCCCTCCTGCTGCGCATGTGTCCCTCGGCAGCCCCAGACGCCCTGGGCCGGGCGCCCGGAGTGCGGAGCTCACGGGAGGGGGAGCTCAGCGCTCATAGGCCGGGGGGGGGGGGGGGGTAGGGGGCGCCAGCCGCTGGGCCCGCCCTGCTTGCTTTGGGGCCGTTTCCCGCCGGAGGCGAGGTGACCTGAGTGGCTGTGGCTCTGTCTGCAGGAACCAGCTGCTGCACCTGCCCCTGCGGCAGCACCAGGTGAGCTGCCGGGACTGGCTGCTGAAGGTCATCTGCGGGGTGGTGGCCATCCGCACGGTGTACGCCTCGCACAAGCAGGCCAAGGCCTGCCTCATCTCCCGCATCAGCTGCGAGCGCGCCGGCGCCCGCTTCCTCACCCGCGGCGTGAACGACGACGGCCACGTGTCCAACTTCGTGGAGACGGAGCAGGTCAGTGCCCAGGCCGCCCGCCTGCGGCTGAGGGGCTGGGGCTCAGGCACAGGCGTCTCCGCGAGGGGGTATTTGAGGCGGTGTCTTGCTCTAACGCAGAGGTTCTCAACCTGTGGGTCGCGACCCCTTTGGGGGTCGAACGACCCTTTCACAGGGGTCGTCTAAGACCATCGGAAAACACATATATAACTACATATTGTTTTGTGATTAATCACTATGCTTTAATTATGTTCAATTTGTAACAATGAAAATACATCCTGCATATCAGATATTTACATTACGATTCATAACAGTAGCAAAATTACAGTTATGAAGTAGCAACGAAAATAATTTTATGGTTGGGGGTCACCACAACATGAGGACCTGTATTAAAGGGCTGCGGCATTAGGAAGGTTGAGAACCAGTGCTCTAAGGGGAAGGGAGCTGGTTATGGGCTCTGCCTGCAGACGTGGCATCTCTGATTCACGTCTCATGCTGGGAAACGCTGCGTACCGGGGTCCTTTCAGCTAGACTAGAGCAAGCACGCCAGATAACGAGCCATGCGGCCCCGGCCGCGAGTTTGACACGCCTGAGCGAGAGGAAGCAGGGTTTCCCCAGGATGGTGGAGGGTGGCAGCTAAACAGAGAGCAGCTGACGACCGATGAACCAGTGGAAGTTAGAAATCTTAAGGCCAAAGTCAGTACATCGATCGTGGAAGGGTGAGGGCGGAAACGACCCTGTGGCCCTGTTCACTCTGAATCAACCGAAGCTTCGCCCTAGAAGCCGTCTCATCACCGGGGGGAGGGGGGCAGGATATGGGGGTGGAATCTGCATGTTCGGCAGCTGTGGCTCTCGGCGCCCGCGGGCTAGAACCTTCTGCTGAATTTCTCATTGTCAGTTTCCGAAATCTGTCCTCCTTCCCGGGTTGCTGCCTCTCAGCGGTTGTGTTCCTCTCTGACGTGCCATGGGGAGGCCATGCCACGTGTAGACCAGCAGGTGGAATAACTTATAGGAATGGGGACGCACAGGTGCAGGGTGCGTGGGTGTCAAGCCGCAAAAACCTGTGCGTACTTAGTGGCTGCGGCTTTGCCGACGGCAGCTGAGAGAGGGGCTTCCCGGGGGACTGCAGCCCGGGTAATTCCGCCCAGATCGGAGCGCCTGGCCGTGTGTGCCGGCGGCCGCCTGCCCGGGCTTCCAGACGCACAGAGGAGAGGACGTCCGCTTGTGTGAGACGCTGAGTGGGAGGACCCCCAACAGGAGCCTTAAGATGAGCAGCAGGGCCAGCTTCTTGCCTGTGACTCCTGCTTGCGATATCTTTGCTCCAGGCGGTAGACACGGCAGGTAAATAAATACCTGGTTGAAAGTGATGGAGAGAAAACGGTGCCCCCAATGGAGGCCGCTGGCTTTTTCTCTCACTCATGTCTTCAAGATGAGCTTGACTTCCTTTTGTTCTCGTGCCTCCGTCATCACCACTGTCCACCCGTGTCATTAGCCTTGGACTCATCCAATCCACTCAACACATTTTTATTATTGGTCACCTGCCGTGGGCCGGGTGCTGCGGTGGGAAGTGGAGGCCAGAAGTGCAGAGGCTGACCGTGCAAACCAAGTCCCGGGGCCTGGTGACAGAACCAGATTCCAGAGGCTTCCTCCGCGGCCCTGGAGCCAGGCCCACGCCAGCCGCTGCCTTAGTCTCCGTTCGGGCCGAGGCCCCTCACTGGCTCCTCTTGCGTGGTGTGCCCTGGAGTTTTGGATTTCAACCAGTTTTTAAACACTGGGGTCTCGTCTACTGACTGATGAAGTAAGTCATTGGGAAATCAACTGCCCTCCATGTCACTGATTTCCTAAAAGAGGCCGTTTCGACTGAAAATGGAGGAGGACGAGCGTGGCTCCCCAGCGTGGCTTAAACAACTGGAAATTATTCAGAGGCCGCCTCCCCCTGCGGCCCCAGGGAGGGTCCTTCCTGCCTCTTCCCGCTCCTGGTGGCCCGGCTGTGGCAGCGCCACTCCAGTCTCTGCCCGTGTCTCTGAGTGGTGCCCTCTCTCCTGAGTGGAGCCCGCAGGCCTGATGCTCAAGTCCTCCCCTCTTTGTAAAGACACCGGTCGCATTGGAAGGAGGCCCCTCCCCACTCAGTGTGACCCCACCTCCACTAATCCCATCTGCAATGACTGTTTCCAAACAAGGGCACATTCTGAGGTGCTGGGGGCGAAGACTGCAGCATGTCTTTTGGGGGGACAGAATTCGACCTTTAGCAGGGACGCCATCCGATGTTAGCGGACTCTGCCTTCAGTGCAGCACATGCGGCTTCAGGGAAAATCTCTCCACTGTCTCTGCGTTTCACATTTGCCTGCAGACCAGGGGTGCGGCCTCTGCTCTGGTCAGCTCCCCCGCAGATGCCTGGGGACTTGGGTTTGTCTCCGGGATGCCCAGGTCCCTCGCTCCGGCTGGTTGCCCACACGTGCCCACTCAAGGGGAGCGAGGTCTGCGTGGGCCGTGGCGCTGTGAGCATGTGTCCATGAACGTGAAGGGTATTGCTCCGTAGCTCAGATCGCATCCCCAGCACTGAGCAGTGTCCTCATGGAGAAATGCCGGCCAAGCGGTTTCTTTCTCAGCAGCCCGGCCGAGCAGCTCCCACGGCCGCTCTGGTTTGCTCTCCCTCAGGGTGGCCAGCGCTGCCTGCAGTCGTTAAACCACCTGCACCTTGACTCCTTTGTTGTCCGTAGAGTAATGGTGGTCAGTGTCTGGACCAGGGGTGGGCAAACTTTTTGACTCGAGGGCCACAATGGGTTCTTAAACTGGACCGGAGGGCCGGAACAAAAGCATGGATGGAGTGTTTGTGTGAACTAATATAAATTCAAAGTAAACATCATTACATGAAAGGGTACGGTCTTTTTTTTTTTTAGTTTTATTCATTTCAAAGGGGCCGGATCCGGCCCACGGGCCATAGTTTGCCCACGGCTGGTCTGGACACAGACGGCAAGTCCTTAACCCAGTGCCTTTTCCCTTTGGCGATCAGGGGATAGAATGCCCGCCCCAGCGTGGCACCCCGGCTGGTGTGATTCCTGTAGTCCAGGGAGCCCGCGGGCCTGACGCTCAGGTCTCCTGCAGAATGACTAATGCATGTTGACCTGAGCGAGATCTAGCCCGTGGAAAGCGACCCGGTAAGGGAGCAGGCTGGTGAGAAGTGGAAAGGCCGGCGGCATCGCCCGGGCCGCCCTGCCAGGCCAGGGTAGAGTTACTCAGATAAAGGGCAGAGCATCTGAGAACCGCCACGGCCTCCCCCTCGTGAGGCGCGGGCCTGTCCTTTTTGTCCTTTAAAACTTTCTCGCAGGCAGCTGGGGAGTTGGTTCGCGCTGGAGTAGCTGGGGGGCAGGGGAGATGCCGTCTTTAACGAGTAAGTATCGGCTTCCGTGCAGGGGCCGTCCCCCCGGGAGCGTGTGGCAGCTGTGTTGTGTGCGATGACTTAGTGAGCGGCATGTTTAAGGGCTCGGTGGCGTGGGGCCAGGGCCGACGACAAGTGCAAGTCTTGACCCGAATGGTCAAGTACAGGACTGACGAGTGCCCTCAACGGCGCCTTTGGCTGCAGCTTGTTCGTTTCGTTCATTCAGCCCTTTCCCAGTTGCCTTCTCTGCTTTGCTGATTGACGAAGTGAAAGTCGAGGGCTCTAAGGAGGGTGTCAGTTAATACTGAAAAGGGAGGGGGCATTGCTGGGATTTGCAGGGAGCTCGGGCAGCTGCACAGCCCCGGGCGGCCCTGCCTGCTGCAGACTCCGGAGGCTGGTGGGCAGCCAGCATCCCGGGGAGTGCGCCGGGCCGGGCCGGGCCGGGTCAGGGCGCCACGCCCGCAGGGCCGCGGAGCGCAGGCCTGACGTCCGCTGTCTGCCCTTCTCTCCGGTGTCGGGTCTCAGGTGGCCGGATCCCCTTACCGGCCCGGACATTCGGTCTCGCTGAAGAACACTTCCCTTTATGTCTCCTTGTGGTGCAGACGATCTACATGGATGATGGTGTGTCGTCTTTCGTACAGATCAGAGGCTCGGTTCCGCTGTTTTGGGAGCAGCCAGGGCTCCAGGTAGGTCATAAGAAGTCCGTGCACGCGTGTTACTGTCCGTCCTGCCTTCTCCCCACACGGCTGTGGCTTGTTTCTTCCCACCATGTTCTTTCATGGCAGTTTCTGGCCTTTCCCGCAGCGCAACTGGGTTGAGCCTGGCGTGTGTGTGTGTGTGTGTGTGCATTGTGTGTAATTTTCCTATTGTGAGCTCACTATTGATGCACCTGCAGTGGGAAGTCTTTGCTGACAGGGAACCGTGTAATGTAATTGAATAGAATCACCTTGTTAGCTCCTAGGTTCCGTACATGAGAACGTGTTAGAGGTGTTTGGGAGTCGTGACTGTCCTAGAGGGCTTTGTGAGGGCCCCAGGCCGGGCAGCGGGCGTGGTTGGCATTGCAGGGGCCCGTGGTGCGGCCACGTGAGAATTGCACAGAGTCTTCTCGTGGTTTCTAAAAATACCCCTGCCGCCCACAACAGCGCTCGGGCCAGCGCCGAGGTATTTGGCGTCTGCCTCCTGGGGAGAGTTCGGGGGTGCCATGTTCCAAGAGCACATTTGCTGTCCACGGACTGGCGCTGCCTCGTTCACTGAGTTCCTACCCGAGGGGCGGGGGGCAGTGCCACTGCGCGGGGTCCTGAGATTCCTCAGCACCATCCGGACTGTCCACCATCCGGACCGTCCACCATCCGGACTGTCCTTCTGGCCTGAGGGGACGTTGTGCGCTCAGCAGGCCTCTGGCTCCGGGTGACCGCGGTTCGGGTGAGTGAAGAGGCTCAGGGCCATCTCCCAGGTTCGTGGGGTGTTTGACAGGGCTGGGTCTTACTGGCCCTTGACTTGACCCCGTGTCACCATAGGCACTTTGTCCTCCAGTCTGTTGTCACGCTGCTGTGGGCAGACACGTCAGCTCTGAGAGTGAGATGGACAGATGAGCGTCATCTGGGCTCTGAGTTCTGGGAGGAAAAGCCTCTCTAGCATCCAGCCTGCCCATTAGGAAGGAATGGCTGAGCCGGCTGGGAACAGCTGGTGGCAGGAAGTGGCGGCAGAGCAGCCTCCTGAGCATGATTATAATGTGGAGAATCCCCTGGCGCGCATCCCACAGCGGGCGTGTGCAAGAGCTGGATGAGATACAGATGACATACCATGAACCTCGCCCGTGCAGAGCATGCGAGCCAGTGGTTCTCGTGCATTTACAGAGCCGTGTAGCCACCATGGAATCTAATTTTAGAACATTTCATCACAGCTAAAACCCTGCGCCCAGTGAGCAGTGGCTCCCCTCCCTCCCATCGCTCCCCAAGGCCGAAGCAGCCGGGCCTCCATAGAGGGCCCCCTTCTGGCCAGTCCACAGAGTGACACTTGATTTTCTTTAGATTTGGAGATTTCCCCCTGAAACTTCTGGAGGTCTGCAAAAGGAAAGAGGGAGACCGTGTCTAAGAATTCTGTCATGACAGAATCCTAGTGTTCGGGAAGACGCAGTGGAATTCACCCACTTCCCCCAGGGCCAGTCCCTCTCCCAGGATGTCTGAGGCTGCCTCCGGGTGCTGAGCTGGAGGCCACAGTGTGGGGCGTCTTCCTGGCGGTGCCCTCTGTCCAGGTTATACGGCTGCAGAGCGCGTCTGGCTTTGCAGACCAGCCGTCTACAACCATGTGTCTGGGACCCTCCATGTCTGGTCTCCCTCTTCTAAAAACAGAGCAAAACCCATTTGTCGTTCGTTCCCTCTTTAGTTCTGGTCTCCAGTCTGGCCTCCCTTGGTGCAGCCTGACCTGCTGTGGAGCAGCTGCCCCTCAGCCTGACAGTGTCAGCGGGACCGGGTGCCCCTCAGCCTGACAGTGTCAGCGGGACCGGGTGCCCCTCAGCCTGACAGTGTCAGCGGGACCGGGTGCCCCTCAGCCTGACAGTGTCAGCGGGACCGGGTGCCCCTCAGCCTGACAGTGTCAGCGGGACCGGGTGCCCCTCAGCCTGACAGTGTCAGCGGGACCGGGTGCCCCTGAGCCTGACAGTGTCAGCGGGACCGGGTGCCCCTGAGCCTCACAGCGTCAGCGGGACCTGGTGCCACTGAGCCTGACAGTGTCAGCGGGACCGGGTGCCCCTCAGCCTGACAGTGTCAGCGGGACCTGGTGCCCCTGAGCCTGACAGTGTCAGCGGGACCTGGTGCCCCTCAGCCTGACAGTGTCAGCGGGACCGGGTGCCCCTGAGCCTGACAGTGTCAGCGGGACCTGGTGCCCCTGAGCCTGACAGTGTCTCGGGACCTGGTGCCCCTGAGCCTGACAGTGTCAGCGGGACCTGGTGCCCCTGAGCCTCACAGTGTCAGCGGGACCTGGTGCCCCTGAGCCTCACAGTGTCAGCGGGACCTGGTGCCCCTGAGCCTCACAGTGTCAGCGGGACCTGGTGCCCCTGAGCCTGACAGTGTCAGCGGGACCAGGTGCCCCTGAGCCTGACAGTATCAGCGGGACCAGGTGCCCCTGAGCCTGACAGTGTCAGCGGGACCTGGTGCCCCTGAGCCTGACAGTGTCTCGGGACCTGGTGCCCCTGAGCCTGACAGTGTCAGCGGGACCTGGTGCCCCTGAGCCTGACAGTGTCAGCGGGACCTGGTGCCCCTGAGCCTGACAGTGTCAGCGGGACCTGGTGCCCCTGAGCCTCACAGTGTCAGCGGGACCTGGTGCCCCTGAGCCTGACAGTGTCAGCGGGACCAGGTGCCCCTGAGCCTGACAGTGTCAGCGGGACCAGGTGCCCCTGAGCCTGACAGTGTCAGCGGGACCTGGTGCCCCTGAGCCTGACAGTGTCAGCGGGACCTGGTGCCCCTGAGCCTGACAGTGTCAGCGGGACCAGGTGCCCCTGAGCCTGACAGTGTCAACGGGACCAGGTGCCCCTGAGCCTGACAGTGTCAGCGGGACCTGGTGCCCCTGAGCCTGACAGTGTCAGCGGGACCTGGTGCCCCTGAGCCTGACAGTGTCAGCGGGACCTGGTGCCCCTGAGCCTCACAGTGTCAGCGGGACCTGGTGCCCCTGAGCCTGACAGTGTCAGCGGGACCTGGTGCCCCTGAGCCTGACAGTGTCAGCGGGACCTGGTGCCCCTGAGCCTCACAGTGTCAGCGGGACCGGGTGCCCCCCAGCCTGACAGTGTCAGCGGGACCGGGTGCCCCCCAGCCTGACAGTGTCAGCGGGACCTGGTGCCCCTGAGCCTGACAGTGTCAGCGGGACCTGGTGCCCCTGAGCCTCACAGTGTCAGCGGGACCTGGTACCCCTGGGTCTCACAGTGTCAGCGGGACCTGGTACCCCTGAGCCCGACAGTGTCAGCGGGAACTGGTTCCCCTGAGCCTGACAGTGTCAGCGGGACCGGGTGCCCCCAGCCTGACAGTGTCAGCGGGACCGGGTGCCCCCCAGCCTGACAGTGTCAGCGGGACCTGGTGCCCCTGAGCCTGACAGTGTCAGCGGGACCTGGTGCCCCTGAGCCTCACAGTGTCAACGGGACCTGGTACCCCTGAGCCCGACAGTGTCAGCGGGACCTGGTTCCCCTGAGCCTGACAGTGTCAGCGGGACCTGGTTCCCCTGAGCCTGACAGTGTCAGCGGGACCTGGTACCCCTGAGCCCGACAGTGTCAGCGGGACCTGGTTCCCCTGAGCCTGACAGTGTCAGCGGGACCTGGTGCCCCTGAGCCTCACAGTGTCAACGGGACCTGGTACCCCTGAGCCCGACAGTGTCAGCGGGACCTGGTTCCCCTGAGCCTGACAGTGTCAGCGGGACCTGGTACCCCTGGGTCTCACAGTGTCAGCGGGACCTGGTACCCCTGAGCCCGACAGTGTCAGCGGGACCTGGTTCCCCTGAGCCTGACAGTGTCAGCGGGACCTGGTTCCCCTGAGCCTGACAGTGTCAGCGGGACCTGGTACCCCTGGGTCTCACAGTGTCAGCAGGACCAGGTGCCCCTGAGCCTGTCAGTGTCAGCGGGACCTGGTACCCCTCAGCCTGTCAGTGTCAGCGGGACGTGGTGCCTGTTCTCCGGCAGCTGGAGCACCTTTCAGATCAGGGGTGGGCAAACTATTTGACTGGAGGGCCACAATGGGTTCTTAAACTGGACCGGAGGGCCGGAACAAAAGCATGGATGTAGTGTTTGTGTGAACTAATATAAATTCAAAGTAAACATCATTACATAAAAGGGTACGGTCTTTTTTTTTTTTTTTTTTTTTTTTTTTAGTTTTATTCATTTCAAACGGGCTGGATCCGGCCCGAGGGCTGTAGTTTGCCCAATGCTGTTTCAGATCCTAACACCAGTGCTTCTCCAGAGTCTCCGTGCGTGGTTCCTTCAAAACACATTTCAAAAGGCTTTGTGTCCGTGAATCTTATGAAGGACGTGCTGACCTTTGAGTCTGATGGGCATGTGCATCCTCCAAGGGGAACTGGGCTGCTCCTGGGACCAGCAGGCCGTGCTCATGGTGGGCCTCCCTCCCTCCCTGGATGTGTGAGGAGCAAGGCTGGGGATGGATGCTGGTTGTCTTTCTCCATGTGGACCTTTCCCCTTCCTTCTTCGTTTGGGTTATATTATAAGCACAGATATGTTTGGGTGAATAGCTTGCATTTTAAGTTGCACTGTTGCCCCCTCTTGGGGCTGCCCCAGGGAACCTATGAGCCTGTGGGCCCAGGGTGGGATGGGGGATGAAGAGGGGGGCGGGCATGATGCAGAGAGGACGGTGGGATACTGATTCCTGTGCGACTTTTCATAGGAATCGTACCCTTGTTAGGAAGTCCTGGATCCTGAGGCCATTTCCAGCAGCTGTGTACCTTTCACAGTTCCATCCCCACCATGGCAGTGGGTTGCACAGTTTATAAACAGCCACATTGGAAATTTTACCCCTAAGGCTAATTGCTCTCCTGGAGTGTTAGTTATGGAGTACATCTTTTACATACTGTGTGTCTGTTGAAGACTTTGCCCCCTTGTCACTTAAGAACTTCCCCCTCCCCCACCCCCCCCCACGGTCACGTGCACACAGGGACCACGTCTTGCACAGGTGAGTTAGTCTGAGTTCTGAAG